GTGCCTCCAGCGGCACCCCGGGACACGGGGACACTAGGACACCCAGCCCTTCCACCAGGACATGGGGACACTGCGCCTCTGGCGGTGTGCAGGGACAGGGGACATGGGGACACCGGACATGGGGACACGGGGACACCAGGACACAGTGCACCTCCACCGGCACGCAGGGCCACGGGCACACAGGGATCCTGGCACACGGACACACTGACACGTGGACACGTGTGTGCAGCGGCACAGTGACCTGTGGGTACAGCGGCACACCAACACACTGACACACGGCTACAGCAGCACACGGGTACAGCGTCACACCGGCACGTGCGTCCACCGACAGACGGACACAGACAGCACACAGGTACCCGGACACACGGGTGTACAGACACACGGACACGCCAGCAAATGGACATGCTGACACACAGACACACCAGCACACGGACACCCTGGCGCACGCACACACCATCACACAGACACTGTGACACACACACACACACACCGGCACACGAACACACGCCGGCACACCCTGACACACAGACGGGCACCAGCACAGGGCACAGCCGGCACACAGACACACCCCCGCCGGCACACGGGGAGGCACAGGCGCACACACACAGGCGCGCGGGGACGCACAAGCGCACTGGCACACGGAGACGCGCACAATGGGACAGGCGCACAGTCGTGTGGTCCGAGCGCACGCACGCCCCTGTACGGACACCCCCTCAGTCCCGTTGTCCCTGGTGCCCGGTGCTCCTCCAGACCCCTCGTCCTACCCCAAACTGGGGTGGGGTGGGGGGATGGACAGGCGGACAGTGAACAGGTGGTTGGGTGGATGGACGGACATGGATGGATGCGTGGACACCCGGGTGGGGGAAAGGACGGGTGGATCGATGGACATACATGGATGGGTGGATGGACACACGGATGGGTGGAAGGATGGATAGATGGGTGGGTGGGTGGGTGGGTGGACGGATGGACGGACGGATGGACACATGGATAGATGGACGGCTGGCTGGATGGGTGGGCGAATGGATGGATGGGTGAGTGGGTGAATGGATGGATGAATGGATGGATGGGTGGATGGGTGGATGGATGGGTGAGTGGGTGAATGGATGGATGAATGGATGGATGGGTGGATGG